CCTTCATCAACCTCCTGAGTACCTGGGATTACAACTGTACATGTATGTGCCACTGCATCCAGATTTGTTTTTCATTTTTGGATACCAGGGATTGAATCCAGAGGCGCTTAATTAATGAGCCACATCCCCAGCCCTTTGTTATATTTTATGTAGAGACAGGGTCTTACTAAGTTGCTTAGAACCTCACTAAGTTGCCGAGGCTGGCTGTGAACTTACCATCCTCCTTCCTCAGCCTCCCAAACAGCTAAGATTACAGGCATGCACCACCACCAGCCCACTGCATCCAGCTTTGATGCTATGTTTTATGATTGTATAAATCATTAAGGCCCTAATTCACTGGGGAAATTTAACTTGTCAGGTAGTTTATGGTTTTCCTCTATATGTGACGTTAAGTGCAAAAGAAGTTGTTAAATACATAGTAAAATTTTGCTTCTGTTGAAAGGCAAGACAGAAATAATCAGCTTACTGTAGTCAACAAATAAAAGGAAGATAAACTTTAAAAATCATACTAGAAAATTACTTAACTCTTTTAGAACATGAGTTATTTTGGGTTAGATTTTTTTTCTTTCTTTCTTTTGAGAGACTACTTTAGATCTTTAGAATGATTTCTGCAGCTTTATGTATTTAGTATGGCTTAGAATTGTGTCATTTCATTTTTGGATTTCTCTACTAGCCTCATTGATAATATCTTCAGGCACTTTGTTAGTTTGAACCTGGACAGACCTGATAGGTCTGATACCCACTTCAGGATTAGCACCAAGGCAGGGTCAAACAAAGTGCCTAGAGGCCAACCCAACCCAAGAATGGCGACTGATAATTGTCAAGACAAAGACCAGTTCAATATTAAGAGGCAATATCAATTATAAGACCAAAAGGGTGAGTCTGAAGTCAAAACTATGAAGCAAGACAAGATTAGGAGTCAAGGTACCAGACAAATGCCCAAAAACTAAGAGCAAAGTGTATAACGCAATAGAGAATGTTATTTACCATAAGTAATTCAAGAAGGTTTGTCCCAGAAAAAGCAAAGTAAGAGAAATACATTCTTAGGGACTCCTCTATACTCTTACCACTAGAAGGTACAATGAACAATAAGTACAATGTCAAGGGGTCCTCTGGCCATCCTAGCATGGCCCTCGGCAGCTGTTAGACAAGACACATGTCTCAGTGACTGCTTCTCATGGAGAAGCAAGGAGAGTAAGGAGAAAAATCCGTCTTTAAAGAACCCAAAATATTACAGAGAACTTAAAAATAAATATGATTTCCTTTAGTCTTCTCTGAAAGAAATAAGTTGTGAAGCCCTATTTGGTAGTTGGATGATAGAGGCTCAACATTACCCTTCTGTACTGTGCCATA